TTTTTTTCTTTTAACCTCACTTTCAACAAACGTCGATTTAAATTGTCGATTTTATAAAATGTATATAAAATGAATCATTCACCTTGGAAACTTAAAATTTGGTACAACCTAACCTCAAACCTTCCTTTATAACCTCAAAAAGTTTCATTTCTTCAATACCAACCGTTTTGGAGAAATCAATTTTTTTCTTTTAACCTCAGTTTCAATAAACATCAATTTAAATCGGCAATTTTATAAAATGTATATAAAATGAACCGTTTATCCTGGAAGCTTAAAATTTGGTACAAAATAACCTCAAACCTTCTTTTATAACCTCAAACAGTTTCATTTCTTCAATACCAACCGTTTTGGAGAAATCAATTTTTTTGTTTTAACCTCACTTTCAACAAATGTCAATTTAAATCGGCAATTTTATAAAATGTATATAAAATGAACCGTTTATCCTGGAAACTTAAAATTTGGTGCAAGCTAACCTCAAACGTTCCTCTATAACCTCAAAAAGTTTCATTTCTTCAATCCCAATTGTTTTGGAGAAATCAATTTTTTTCTTTTAACCTCTGTCGACAAAGCCACAAAACGTTGCTTCTGTGAAAACTATGAAACAGAGTTCTTTCCATAAAATACAATACACTTTTTCTATCATGTTTGTCTCCAACCCAATCAGCATCTTTATATCCATTATATCCAATTAGTTCTTCTGATCCTTTCATAAACAGCCTGATTTAGCTTCAAAATAGTACCCTTCTTATTATTTATGATTGATTCATTATCTCTTTATGACTTTATTGTATTTTTATATAAACTTCAAACATATGTTCTCCATTCAGGAAATCTGATGGTACATCCAATTGTTGCAACATCCTATTCTTTTGTACTGGAGCATACTGTATTGTTCTTTCAGTTGGAAACCCGTTAAACAGTTGGAGTCCTGTTTAATTTTGAATATCCATTTAGTGTGGTAAAGAAGTTTCCTTCCAAGTTTGAAGTTTTTCCAATGAATTAAACTCTTACTTTATTGCTTCTTACCATTCCTTTACTTTTACTGTCTCACTGTAGGTTTCTGGTTCATCATTCGCATTTATTAATGTGTAATAAGCTTAATATACTTCGAAATCTTTTAAGTGTTGTGGTAATTGTCTTTGGCTATTCGTTTCTACTTCTTTGTCTTTATTTTGAATAGTAACTTTCGTTAGTTCATTTTCTATTTCCTCTTCACATTCATCCTCTGTTCTGGCCAAATTTTTATTTTTACTTTTTATCAACAATGATTAATTATTACAAGGTGAGTCAGAAAAAAAAATGGTAAAACCAAAAGATAACGTTTCTACCTACAATAATAAATAAAGGGAACAAGATAACTTAAATCGCTCGCTTGACGTGACGATATCGATATAAATACTTATTCGGTGACTACGTGGGTTTAGTATCGTTTAGTATCGAGGCTTTTGGTGTATTAAAATATAATTTGGAAAGTTTTTACTTGAAAATAAAATAATTTGAGGATGCCTCCGCCACCGCATCATCGTCCACCACCACCTCATCATCATCCACCTCCACCTCATCATCCACCACCACCACCACATCATCTTCCACCACCTCCCCATCATCATCCTCATCCTCCACCACCTCATCACCACCCTCATCCTCCACCACCAGGACCACATCATCCACCACCAAGACCACCACACTTTTGTAAGTAAAATTAATTTAAAACCTTATTAATTAATTTTAATAAAGGTTTTCCACCACTTCCAGGAAGACCACCACATTTTGGGCCTCCACATCATGGACCACACCACCGCCATTAATACAAAAACGATTTAATGTTACTAATCCAGATAATTTAACATTTAATCCAAACATTTACTTTAAATAATGATTACAATCGATAATCTGTATTTAGAATTCATATTATAAATAAATATAAATTTTCTTAGAAATAAAAACGATTTTTTTTATTTTTTTCCTTGAAATATCAAATTAAATCGTTTAATAAAAAAGATAAAATAAAAAATACGTTGTATTTTATATAAAAAGTAAAAACAAGAAAAGATAATTTTAATCTTTTTAGTCCCGTGATCGAATCGATCAAAAAATAAATTGTAATTTGAGATAACGAATTGGGATAAATACCCAAAGACAACCGAAATTTTTATTAGAGGCTACAAATTGAGACGCTATAAATTAATAAAAAGTGGGAACTCCTAATAATAACAAATTATTACAATTTGAATTAATTGGAGATGAGTGAAGAAAATAATTCAAGATTTTTTCGCCCACCATGGCATAGACCACCTCAACCTCAACCACCACCTATTGAGTTGCTCCCTGATCATGGGCAAATGCCAGGTAAAAATTATTAATTTTAATTAAGGTTGTTGAGTTAATTTTTTTAATTAGGTATGGGCCCCCCGCAATGGAGTGGACACCACCCTCATCCTCATCCTCAACAACCCCCACCACCGATTGAATTAATGCCAGAACCAGGACAACAATGGCCAGGTAATTAATTATCTTTATTATTAACAAATTTAGTTCTTATTTATTTTGTTAAGGATTCCATCCTCCACAACATCATCACCCAGCTCCACCAGGACAACCATTTTAAATTTTGTTTACACTTATATTAACCAAAAGGGATGCAAGATATAAAATAATATTACTTTGATTTGATTTTATTTCTTAAAATAAAAATTCCATAACCTAACAAAAATGATTCATAATCTGATTTAAATTCCAACCCAGATTTCACTTGAAATCCAAATCCCCGGATTCTTTCGATAATCCAAAAATAGATTTAGATAAATTTACAAATAATTAGATAATGAAATCCCCAAAAAAATATAAACACCCATAAAAATAAAAGTAAATTATTCAGTGTGGGCCACGTTCTTCGTGCAAATGGTGCGCCTCAAATCATCATAAAGTGAAAAAAAGTTTCGTTTTAATTCAAAATTTAAATAAAGTGAATGATGGGTGATGACCCCGAAGGAAGATGGCCGGCTGCTCCTCATGATCCATGGAATCACCCACCTCCACCGTGGCACATGCCTCCCGAAGATCAAACAGCTTGGGCACCCCCCATTGAGATGCAACCCGAAGTAGCTCAAAACCCACCGATTGAAATGGTTCCGGATCATTCACAACCAGACAGCGGTGGTTGCTGTGATTGTTGCGGATGTGGTGTTAATTGCTGCTGTGGGTGTTGCTCTTGCAATTGTTGCACCATTTTATAAAAGTTTTATTACGATTTTTTAAAAAGAAGACGCCGAAGAATTAACGAAGCAATTATTTATCATTCTATAAATTAAGTATAAGTATTATAATTGAAAGTAATGTATCAATCTTTTTGGTAATAAATACCTGTTTAAATTTTTGTGGTAGTTTTAATATTGTTTTAAAGAATCGTGCAGCAAACACACTCTGATCTTGGTCTGCGATGGTGTGGAAATAATATAGGTGGTGGTATGTGGGGTCTGTGATGAATATCATGATGTATTCTGTGATGGGTACTACCGTGGTGAATACCATGATGTATACCATGATGTCCACCGTGATGAATACCATGATGTATACCATGATGTCCTCCATGATGCCCACCGTGATGCCCACCATGATGTCCACCGTGATGTCCACCGTGATGTCCACCATGGTGGCCTCCATGATGCCCATGCATAGTCATATTAATTATTATTAAAGAAACCACAAGTTAAAATAAACACTTAATTCACCGGGATTTGCGATTGATTTATCACATTTGAAGGCCTCCTAACAATATATACCACAATTGACGCATTATTAAGTGCAGATAACATGCTTATGAATCATATGTTTTGGATGATTAAGCGAAACCACTCCAACTTTATCAATACATACCATGTTAACCAATTATCTAATCAATTGTATCGTAAATAATTTTAAAAAAATTATTATTAATAATAAATACGCCTTTTCTGATTTAATAAAGTTTTTGATTTTCGTTCCCTTTGTGGGTTTTCAGTTATAGATGTAATAAAGGAATAAAATGTTAATCCTCTAAGTATCTGACAGATTGATTAATTTTGACGCAAAATCTTGATCTAAAAAGAACATTGTGACATATCCCAAATGATTACGATCTCATTGGACGATAAGATCTGATTAGAAAACCAGATTAACAACTTAACATAATAATATAGACTCTGAAATCTTACCATTATGACTCTAAGTGACAGCAGAAAACTCAGCGATATCAAATTTATTAATTTCCCTTTTTCTTCACTACATGACAGTTCAACGGACATATCGGAATGGTACTGGATGATCTGGAAGAAATAAAACCAAACATAAATAAAGATATTTCAAAATATATGTTTGTTAATTTTCAAATTGACAAGTTAAAAAAGTTAGGTTATGTCCTGTCAAACTTGGCTGATTAATTTGGAGCAATAAACTCACTTTGCGGGGCCTTAAATCACTAGAAACATGTAGTTTGAGTGCTTATAAACGTGTTTTGATTGCATTTCAAGTGTAATTAAACTTTTTTTTCGTAAAAATCACGTATTTTAGGAATAGTACCAAACGGTGATTTTAAATGTCAAAATACGATTTAATATGGGTCGTTGCCACTAGATGGCGGGTGTAGTCGTTTAAATGAAGGATTACTTTTAGAATAATTAAAAAAATTATTAATTTTTCGTTTAAATTAATCAATTTAACATCAAAACGTTTCATTTATTAATTCTCAGTTTTTTCCGGAAATAAATAAATAAATAAAGTTGAGTTAAAAATTAAAAAAACAAATGACAGTCTAAGCATCCAACAACCTTGATTCTAAAAATAGATTTTATTAAAATCTATTAATTAATAAACATAAATTATGTAATTAATTAGATAATTAATAAGACTTACTATGTTTTTTCTGCAATAATNTATTATTTTATTTTGCCAAGGCCGCTTGCGGCCGAGGCGCTGGGTTTGTTTGAATCTTAATAACCACCTTTATCCTAAAATTTCAGAGGCATTGTTGCTTTTTCTGACAAACCTTCTTAGCTGAAGAGACCAGTTTGTCGAACGATATTATCAAAACGCAGTCTTTTGCTTTCCCAAATTTTTCAAAGTACGAATTTTGTACAGAAAGAGGCTTTGCTGTTGATGAAGCCAATGATTTTGTCGAAGATATTCACTAAAAAGTGACTCCAGAATTCAGTTTTCAAAACTTAGATCTCTTTTGACTTTGTACTTCGGTTCTTTGTCTTTTGAGAAGATTTTGAGAAATGCTTTGAGTAACATCGCTCTGCAAACCCTTCGCTCCACGACTTCTATGTCGTGCTGTTAAGAACCAGATAGCTTCCAGCGTTCAGAAAACTTTTCAAAATTTAGTTTTCATAACTCAGATTTCAAAACCAATCAAAATCCTTTGATGAATGATTCCTGAATTTAAATCAACAGTTGTTGTGGCGTCAGGGGAACACCATAACAAAAATTAATATCACCTTTTGCGAATTTATGAGTAACAAATTTGAGTTAATGTTACCAACCAAATTTTTGGCATTATGATGCACTACAAGTGCGGTTTGACCAACTTCGTTGCAGGCATTGTACTAACAAATGATGTTAAGGTAAACTCAGCCCATCACACCTGATGTATCTGAAATCTGTTCTGCAGCAACCTCAACTCGTGCCACTAGGTCTTCTTATGTCTCTACAGGAGTTTCAAAAACTAAACTCTTCATATGACCCCAGAGGAAAAATCCTCCTTAATGTATCCAAGGTCCTTAATGTGTTAAAATGACATTCAATGAAGAGGATGCGCCGTGGAAATAGGGTCTCATTGATGCAGAAAGCTCGTACAGAACTCAACGCGTCTAAATGATTAAGAACTGTTATTCCAAGTTGTCCATAATCAGTAAATACTGAATTTATTGATTTTTAATCCTATATGAATGCTACTTAAGCATTTTCCTCGATCTTTTCTCACATATAAGGTTAAATATATCATTTAACATTCTTTATTATCACTTCCATATATGTCACTTATAATAATAAGCTTGTCTAAATGATTCAAACTTGCTTCACAACTTTCCCAAGTTCTTCAAAATAACTGAAAACTGTTTGAAAAATGATTAGAGCTTTGCAAAATTGTTCTGCAATCTTTGAAAACTTGTCTAAATGATTAAAAACTATTATTCCAAGTTGTCCATAATCAGTAAATACTGAATTTATTGATTTTTAATCGTATATCATGCTATTTAAG